AACCCCACAGTTCAATCACCCTGCCCCGGAACGCATGGTACCGCAGTGCCGTGCGTTCCAGCGCAGGGCGACCTAATGACCGAGGACAAATGTGGGTCCCGAGGTGACACAGGGTGAGAAGTTTTGATCCAGGAGAACTGTGTCCTGGTCACACAATACACGGGGCCAAGTTCCGGAAGCCTGCACATTGGACCCGAGGAGCCGCAGCAATTACAGGCGACAGCTCAGCAGAAATACGTCGGATCGGCCTTCATCGCGTGCGTCCACGTCTCAGAGTGCGGGACCCGCGGCTCGGTCCACCAGGAAAGCAAAACAAACGGCAAACGCACTCCTAACCGGCCGCACGGCGCCGTGCACGCGGAAGGGCCACATACAGGTGCGGTCTCAGTACAGATATCGGACCGTCAGCATTGAGAAATACAAAGAGGTCAACCCATCCTCTAATTCAGGGGAAGGCAAACTGCAGCTGCGGGGGTAACTACAAGTCCCATCAGGCATTGCTGACAGCCACGACTCCCAGAGGAAGATGTATGATGGGACTTGTAGTTTCACCCCACAGCTGGAGGGTGGAGTTTGCTCACCCCCGGTCTGAGTGAACGTTTGCCCAATTCAGCCCTGAAATCCGAGCTCGGAGAAGAAACCACTTTGCTCTGCAGGACGTCGCACTCGGTCCGAACTCCCATTCACATTACAGGAACATTCTTCATTATGGGACAACAAGACCCATCGGATCAGATCCCAGAATTACACTCCGGGTTGTAGAAAACCTTTCATGTCTCTTCCCAGATCAGATGAACCTTCCGTCCCGAGCCCGGATCGGGTCCGACATCCTCCCCGGAGTGTGAGGAGCTAAAGGGGGCGGGGTCAGGAAAAGTCTATACCGGACCCACCAGAACCTTCTGACATCACACAGGCTGCGTGTACTCATGGACAAAGAAGCATCTAGACCCGTGGTTCTGAACTGGTGGGGGGTGATCCCCGTGTTTCGGGGGTCACCGCATACCTTCCCCTTACTAGGTAAGAGGCTCCTCTGTCTCCCCCTAGTGCCGGGATGGCCAAACTGCGCCCCTCCAGCTGTGGGGTGGAACTACAAATCCCATGAGGCATTGCAAGATTCTCACAGCCACAGACGTGACTCCCGTGTTCCAACCCGAACCCCACAGTTCAATCCCCCTGCCCCGGAACGCATGGTACCGCAGTGCCGTGCGTTCCAGCGCAGGGCGACCTAATGACCGAGGACAAATGTGGGTCCCGAGGTGACACAGGGTGAGAAGTTTTGATCCAGGAGAACTGTGTCCTGGTCACACAATACACGGGGCCAAGTTCCGGAAGCCTGCACATTGTCCTGCCCCGGAACGCATGGTACCGCAGTGCCGTGCGTTCCAGCGCAGGGCGACCTAATGACCGAGGACAAATGTGGGTCCCGAGGTGACACAGGGTGAGAAGTTTTGATCCAGGAGAACTGTGTCCTGGTCACACAATACACGGGGCCAAGTTCCGGAAGCCTGCACATTGGACCCGAGGAGCCGCAGCAATTACAGGCGACAGCTCAGCAGAAATACGTCGGATCGGCCTTCATCGCGTGCGTCCACGTCTCAGAGTGCGGGACCCGCGGCTCGGTCCACCAGGAAAGCAAAACAAACGGCAAACGCACTCCTAACCGGCCGCACGGCGCCGTGCACGCGGAAGGGCCACATACAGGACAACAGCAAAACGTTTCCCCGCACACTCACCAGCCGGCATGTCTCACCGCTGAGGGTAACAACCGAGGTCTTAGATACGTCTTCCGCGTCTGTTTGTTGCATGCCGGCTGGTGAGTGCGCCGGGAAACATTTTAGTATTGGTCTATCGGGACCCCTCCCCCTGGTCTATCGGGACCCCTCCCCCTGGTCTATCGGGACCCCTCCCCCAGCGGGCGTCTTGTCCCTGACACACACACAAGCTGCCACGTTTTATACTTCCCCTCATTTTCCTTTCCCGGTGTCAGTACAAAGCCGCAGACTTGCCCCGGGGGTTCTTTGCCAGTTGGGTCGGTCCCTGCAAGGGTCCGATTTACAGTCCTCACGGGTCCGGGGGATATGTAGGAGGGCAGAGCCGCTACCACACGCATGTCACCCTGTATGGGCACCAGGAAGGGAAAAATGACCCGCGCCTGGCACCGATATATATACGGCTGGTATGTGAGAGGCGAGGACCGGGGCGAAACCCTCAGATACAAGTATAGGAGACACGCCTCTCTGCCTGCCCACCAGCATGCGGGAGAAAGGTAACACAATGGCTGCCCATACATGGAAGGCAAATGCAGAAAAAAAGTTTCAGGGCTGGAAATTTGCTGGATGACTTTACAATGTTGGCTCTGGAGAAAGTGTACGTGAATGTAGAGGAGCCGCT